AGGTTCTGGCACAAGGGTAATCAACATAGTACTCTCCAGATGTTGCTGGAATCCAACTTCCATCAACTCATGTTCAACACATTTAACATCTGAATGACATCATTGGCCAACCATGTTCTGCCGCAACAACTGACATTTATTGGGGGGCAGGTAGGCTATAGCTCAGTGGTAAAGCACATGTCCTATTGTGTTCATGTCCTGGTGGGCTTCCAAGAGACATTTGGTTGCACACCATGTGAACAGAATGCTGGACTAGATGGACCTTTGGTCCATCAGGTAGGTGCTTCTGACATTCAAGCATGCTTTGCAATCCTCAGCACCTACAGATAAGAAAGGAATAGGTAGCTGATGATGGGAAAGTGCCCTGCCTGAAATCCTGGAGAACCCCTGTGAGTGAGAGCAGATAACACCAAGCAGGAGTGCCAGCTTGGCCCCACAACCATGGGTTTCTGGGGCCATGGGTGGCATGCAGCGTGCATGGCCCTGGCACTGAAATTTGTGGGTGCCCAGCCCCTTCATGGGGAATTTTGTGGGTGTTCAGGCACCCAGGGCCCCGGGGAGTTGGCACCTATGACACCAAGGTAGATTTGCCCCCTGCTAACACAGTTGCGGTTGGACTATAGACAATACACAGGAAATATCAGTTTAGTGGTTGAGGGACATTTTTACAATGGAGGCATGACAGCGTGATTATTTTGACAGCCAATGGAATACATGTTGATTGGTGTAGCTCTTTCTGTGGGCTTGTCTGCCCTTAGAAGAATCTTGGAGAAATTGCAGCTCTTAAAAAAAAGAAAAGAAACTGAAAGGTTGTATTCAGTGGAGCACTAAGGAGTTTGTTCCATCCATCATCATAAGCATTTCTGCTTCTTCGAAAGGATGATCTCCCCTCTCTTACCCCAACAAACTCATATCCTGCCAATCCGGTGTTTCAGGGCAGGTAACAACTAAAGCCAAGAATAACATGCAATACAAACACAACAATATATATATCACCAGAAACAAGGGCAGCAGCTTAAAACAGAAGTGGTTATCAGATAAAACAGTAGTGGTTATCAGATGTTAACTTGCTTGTATGAAATAATTTTCTTATCTCAGCTTTCATACATAGATTTCTAGTACTGTATATAACTAAACCTCTTCTCCACAGAATCCTTAAGCCATACAATATACTATACAGTTGTACCTCGGGTTAAGAACTTAATTCGTTCTGGAGGTCCCTTTTTAACCAGAAACTGTTCTTAACCTGAAGTACCACTTTAGCTTATGGGGCCTCCCGCTGTCGCCGCGCGATTTCTGTTCTCACCCTGAAGCAAAGTTCTTAACCTGAGGTACTAATTCTGGGTTAGCGGAGTCTGTAACCTGAAGCGTCTGTAACCTGAAGCGTCTGTAACCCGAGGTACCAATGTACAGAAAAATATTATACCTCTCTCTCTCTTTCTTTTGAGTCTGGCTAATACAATCGCCTTTGTCATTGTAAAACTGTTGTCACAATTGGTTCCATTTCCAGACATGACGGACTGCATTTTCCTTCAGGAGCAAACTGAACCCAGCAGTAAACAGGACCACCTATCATTGCCACATTTTATTTATAGAGCACCAAGTGCCATACAAGTACATGCAGAAACGAAATTCCTTAGACTCATTCACTGACAGTGTGCCGTAGGTCGACAAGTGCGCTGGCTTGCCCCCACAATTGAGGGGGGCAGCGCTGTGCGAATGCCACACGCACACCACTGGGGGGGGGGGCGGATATGAAAACTAGTCTTGTCTTGCGCCAGAACTGGAAGAGACCCAATTTGCTCTTTGCAAGAATCCAAGTATAGCCTTGCTGACCCCTCTCCCCAACAAAACCTAATGGGTGTGTGTGTGTCAAAGATGTGTTGGAGTATTAATGCTGTGAATCATCTATTTTATGTCCAGCCTGTATATATGTGTAAAAAAAGAGAACCCCATACATCACAAAGGCACTGGAAGCCTCCAGTGACCTTCATTCCAAGGCAATGAAATGTGGAATATGTGCTTAGAGCGCTGAGAGCTCTTCCTGCTCAGAGGCTGGGGTGCCCCCATATCAATACAAAGGAGAGGGGAGCGGAATAGGCAAACCCAGAGAGGCACATTGGAAAATGGCAGCTTGCAGTCAAGCACAGGGTAGCGCTAATTGCCTAGTTGTCCTGACATCATTATGCTGCAAGTTTCCCTTTTCATGTTCGACATCATTAGCTGCCATTAGGAATATGCGATGTTTGCATACGATGAATAAGAATGAATTTAAGGGAACGTATACAGAATCTCGCCTTTCACGTGAGCCTCAAGAGGGTTAGCGAAATAAGCAAAGCCAACAGATAAGGCAATGTAACCAGAATAATAATAATAATAAAATGACAAACTGGCTTGTGGTACCTTAAAGACTCTTTATCGAATGTATGGTGGTAGGCAATATTTTGTGAAGTTGAGCCCAGTTCATCAGACTTCGAAGCACTTAAGTCTGCAAAAGCTTATGCCATAATAAACTGCTTAGTTTTTAAGCTTCTTCTGTTGTTTGTACGAGAGACTAAAAGGGTTACCCATCAGGAAAATAATAATAATGGAGAAAGCAAAATGCAGGTTTAAAAAATATGAAATAATGAGCCAGTGCTTCATGCTGCTTCCACCCCATACATGATTTGCGCTAAAGAATTCTGGGAACTGTAGTTTAGCTCCCCCCTCCCCCGAGCTACATTTCCTTAACTAACTACAGTTTCCAGGATTCTTTGGGGGGAAACATGTGCTTTAAATATATAGTCAATATACAGTGCTTTTTTCTAGGGGTACTCAAGGGTACGCAGTATCAGCACACACACCCCAAATGTTAAAAGTATGGCCCTTACTGTAACAACTTCATGGTGAGTACAGGCACCTATAATAATAATAATAATAATAATAATAATAATAATGTGTGTATGTGTGAAATATACTCGGAGTTGAGTGTTGATTTCATGCTCTTTATTTCAGCTCATGGTAAACAGTGAGTGAGAGTTTCCCCCCAAAACCTCTGGCTATATATACATTATTGGGTCCCATGTGATTGGCTGATTCAACTCCCCTCCTGGAGCCTGATTGGACTGTTCCTGCAGGCCAATCAGGTTGCTGATTCACTTCCTCCTGCAGCCTGATTGGGCAGCTCCAGCAGACCAATCAGGTTGCTGCCTTCTAGGATCCAACCCGCCTATTGTTCTAGGCTCCGAGCTCAGTACATAACAATATACAACCTGAAAAACTATTAAAAATGATCAGTCAATTCATTAATGAAGTTAGCCTGGCTGCATCAGATCAAAGACCCATCTAGTTCAGCACCATGTTCTCAAACAAGCCTATGGGAAACCTGTAAGCAGGATATGTGTGCAATGTAATTTTTAGGTGCCCATGAAGAAACTGGACAAGCCTGTTGAATCAAGCCAATGGACCATCTAGTCTGGGATCCTGCTCTCACCGTGGTGTATAGGAAGCTTGCAAGTGGGACAGGAGGGCAACTGCTCTCTCCCCACCAGCAGACCTGCAGTTCCCAGCCACTAGTACAAAGAGGAAAAATGCCACTTCCAGTGGAGGTTGAACACAGCTAATGCTGTGGTCCACAGGGATGGCCAAGGAAGAGGCAGGATAAGATGCTACACTTGCTATTGGAACCCCCATTGCCATGGTGAATTTCCCAACGGAACCAAGCAGGAATCCATGGGGAAGTAATGCAGGAAGTGATGAAAGGGAGACATGCCCAAACCTCAATGCCATAATGTCCAGCCTGCTGCAGAGAAGCACCTTTAAGGCCAGGGAGAAGGCAAGAGGACTCCGTTGAGCCTCCTTACTGATACTTCTCTGCATACAGCTAGAGCTATACCTGTGCAGGAAAGCAGTGCAAGCCTGTTTTATATGCTAATTGTGACTCACTTCCACAAGTGCTCATCAATTAAATTAAATGGCATTATCCATGAGGGAGGTATCCACGGGCTTGGGGGAACCCCTAGGTTTGCAGTGCTTAAAACAAAACAAAACATCTTTAGATTGGATTTCTCACCCCTGTTGTGCTTATTGCCCCTCTTTGAAGGCCTAAAGGCTGATACAAAGACTAAGGATTCATTGACTATCCATCTAGCATCTGTCTAGCAAACTTAGACAGCATCTTAAAAAGCAGAGACATCACCTTGCCAACAAAGGTCCGTATAGTTAAAGCTATGGTTTTCCCAGTAGTGATGTATGGAAGTGAGAGCTGGACCATAAAGAAGGCTGATCGCTGAAGAATTGATGCTTTTGAATTATGGTGCTGGAGGAGACTCTTGAGAGTCCCATGGACTGCAAGAAGATCAAACCTATTCATTCTTAAGGAAATCAGCCCTGAGTGCTCACTGGAAGGACAGATTGTGAAGCGGAGGCTCCAATACTTTGGCCACCTCATGAGAAGAGAAGACTCCCTGGAAAAGACCCTGATGTTGGGAAAGATTGAGGGCACAAGGAGAAGGGGACAACAGAGGACGAGATGGCTGGATAGTGTTCTCGAAGCTACCAGCATGAGTTTGACCAAACTGCAGGAGGCAGTGGAAGACAGAAGTGCCTGGCGTGCTCTGGTCCATGGGGTCACAAAGAGTCGGACACGACTAAACAACAACTAGCATCAGCTCGGCTTGGGCAGATTTGACTTCCAAGGAGTGTGCCGCTGCTGCTACCGCCACTGCGGCAGCAGCGGCAGGCAATGTATTCCTTGGAGGCCGGAATTCTGCCCCTGCAGATCCTGCTGCCTGAGGCGATCACCTTACTTTGCCTCATGGGTGAGCTGGCCCCATGCTTATGAGCTTCCCAAGAGAATCCAGCAGATGAAGCAAAAGCAGGAGGGTTGGAGTAGAGACGGTTAGCAAACTTACCGCACCTCGGCCCAGTGTCCCCAGCACCGACCATGTGGCGGGCTGGAGGGCGGGGGAGCACGTGCCCATTCGCGTGCGCACACACTATTTCCGGTGCACTTCCGGGGCAGAGGAGCACCAGAAATAGTTTGTGTGCATGTGCACGGGCCTTCTCTGACCCAGATTTGCACCAGAAATAATGTTTGCTCATGCGCACAAGCTATTTCTGGTGCTCCTCTGACCTGGAAGTGGGCAGCTGTGCAGCGCAGCGGCGGTAAGAGTGGGCAGTGGCAGTGGGTGGCAGGGGTATCCAGTCCGTGGGCCTTAGTTTGGGGACCCCTGGAGTAGAGAGTCCCTTGCTTCAACCCAGCAAGGGCACACGTAATGTTGTTTCTGGTGCTTATGCATAGCTGTTTCACTTTGGGCATTTCCACAAGAGATCAGAGCATTGCAGAATGTCTAGGACTTTCACTCCACTCTCTGGAGAAACTCCTCTCTGATACTTAAAGCACCAGAAATCCATCTATCTTCTCCACCACAAGGAAGAATGGGGCAATCTCGTCAATGGCAAAGCAATTACTTGTGTACAGAAGGGTTTGAAAAACAAAAGGGGAGAAAATTGCACTTGGGTTCATTCCCCCTCCCAAGCCCCTTGAGGACTCTTCTCTGACAAATGTGCTAAATGGTCTTATGCTGTTCTCTTTGTCCACAGCAATCAGGAAGAAACAGGGGGGAAATGAGTGTGAAGGGGAAAGAAGCAGGAATTAGACACACATCAAAGGCAGGCCCAGCAGCCTCACAGGCAAAATGAGATTTATTTGTTTGTTTGTTTTGCCAGCAGGGTGGGGATTTGGGAAGCACTTGCAGCAGAAATGGAAGGGCGGAGTTGTTTGGTGCAGCCTCCCTGCTCTCCAGGTCTCAATATGTTTCCACTCAAGTTCTGCGAAGGCCCCAATCCCGCAAAGCACTAAGCCCTCTCTCCAAGGCAACTCCACTGACCCGGCTGATAATGTTTGCATTCTCTCCCTGAGTGTTTGCCACTGCACCACACACACACGCACACACGCACACACAGAGAGAGAGACAGCAACAGCAGCAGCTGCCACATGTAAAACACCGGAATGATTAAAGAGTGGGAAGGAGAGTTAATTGCCTATTATTGTTGGGTCACTGGAGGAGGATGGCTTGGATCTTTGCAAAGGGCAAAGGCAGAAGGAGGCAAACACTGCAAAATTGGAAAGCCATTCCGTGGAGGAAGGAGCTTTGTTCCATCTTCCGCCCCAGCCAAAGCACCGTCCTCATAAATAAATGCAATCCGCGTTTGTGATTATCTTCCCTCCGGCCACGCCAGTATTTGTCTAGGGCTGCTATTTAGCAGCCAATTCCACCCGCTGCCCTTTCGTCTTCAAGGAGTTTTCTTGCACACATTGCTGGCACCCGGCTAGGTGGCATTGTCCCCGGGTGGCAGGGCTCCATCTTGCTTTGCTGGGCTCTGTCATGCAATGGCAGACTTGGGTACTATGGCAACCTGTGCGAGGCCAAAATTTGGCACACACACGCCAGTCCTTGTGGGGCTAGGAGATGCCTGACTTTGGGGAGGTCTTAGAACTCTTTAGGCACTAGGTGAAAGAGGAGAGCGAAAAATATGGTCCAAAGCTCAACATAAAAAAAACCTAAGATCACTGGTCCCATCACCTCCTGGCGAATAGAAAGGGAAGAAATGGAGGCAGTGAGAGATTTTGCTTTCTTGGGCTCCATGATCTCTGCAGATGGTGACAGCAGCCACGAAATTAAAAGATGCCTGCTTCTTGGGAGAAAAGCAATGACAAACCTAGACAGCATCTTAAAAAGCAGAGGTCCGTTGCCGACAAAGGTCCGTATAGTCAAAGCTACGGTTTTCCCAGTAGTTATGTATGGAAATGAACGCTGGACCATCAAGAAGGCTGATCGCCAAAGAATTGATGCTTTTGAATTATGGTGCTGGAGGAGACTCTTGAGAGTCCCATGGACTGCAAGAAGATCAAACCTCTCCATTCTTAAGGAAATCAGCCCTGAGTGCTCACTGGAAGGACAGATCCTGAAGCGGAGGCTCCAATACTTTGGCCACCTCATGAGAAGAGAAGACTCCCTGGAAAAGACCCTGATGTTGGGAAAGACTGGGGGAACAAGGAGAAGGGGACAATGAGAGGACAAGATGGCTGGACAGTGGTCTCAAAGCTACTAACATGAGTTGCACCAAACTGTGGGAGGCAGTGGAAGACAGGAGTGCCTGGGGTGCTCTGGTCCATGGGGTCACGAAGAGTCGGACATGACTAAACGACTAAACAACAACAATCAGGCATTTCGCTGGTTAACATTCTATGACCTTTTAAATGTGTTGTGGGAGCAGGGTTATTGGTTTGTTTGCTTTTGTTTCATTATGTATTCTGTACCTTTCTTTTTTTATTCTTATGTTGTGAACAATTATTAGGAAGTGACCACAAAATTGCACCTGCAGCACCAGGGAACAAGGAGTGAGTGAAGATTGGCATCAGGAACAAGGGAAATTTTCGGCTGAAGGGTGGTATAAAAATTTAATAAAGAATAATAATAATAATAACCACTACCAGTGCCTTCCTGGCAACCCCCTGTTTGTTTCCTTCTGCTTTTCTGTTGAAGAAGGCTTTCCATTGTTCTGGTCTAGCAAAGCCTAGCCCAACAACTGAAACCTGCCTCCCATAAATATCTGACCAGCAGACAGCAATTCCGTAATAAGAAAGGTTTCCCCTCCCTGCCTGTTGGACCTCTTCTCTGATGAAGCCAATCTATAATACCCTTGCTGCCGTTGGCAAATATCATTTTAGCATTTATCTCCCCATGAGGCGGCACTCATGAATAACACCTTCCATTACAGCTCCTGCCCAGCTGCAAAGATAAGAAGCTACCCATCTCTGCCACCCCCTCGCCCCCATTTATTTTAAAATGAAAAGCAGATCACGCATCACATGTGTTTGCTCAACGTCGAGTTCTATTAACAAGCAGGAGGAAGAATTACATCAAGGCCGCAAATCCTCGGGTGCGTGGTGGCAGCGGGTGGATAATTATGGCTCTTTTTCTGAAAGCATTGCATTCTCTTTCAGAGGTTGGAAATACGCACACACGAAACCCCCGCAAAAAGCTTAAAGTGTAGACATGACAGCATATACGTCTTGGGCTTTGATATTGCTGTTACACACATTTCTCTCCTGTTCTGCAAACTGTTAAGATTCAAGGTCTGTGATGGGCATGACGCTACCCTTTTGTTTACAGGGATCTTCTAGCACACTGTTCCGATTAATTCTGAGAGTTATGCATGTTCTACCTGCCTTTCAAGTTTCCTTGTTTTGTTTTTAAGTTGCCACTTGTTTTGAACCACTGTCAGAGCTGGCAGTTTGGGAACCCAGCCAGGAAGCAGGGAAGCTGATATGCAGGAACTGGTGGCATTCTAAGAACTTGGTCTACACCTCAGCACCCAGATGCTTAGATCAAGGAGCCCTGTTGGCATCCTCCATCTGGCTCCTGCTAAACTAGCAGCTACACTCAAACCCTCTGGCTGTCCACAATGTTAGTGCTGAATTGCAACACAGACAGCCTTCTCCTTCCTAGTGGCTTAGATCAGGGAATGGGAGCCTCATACCCAGGGGCCAAATGCATCCACCCAAGCCTCTCTATCTGGCCCTCAGGACTCTCTCCAGGCCAGATCCCTCATTGACCTTGCTTTGAGCTTTCCTTGACCCTGCTTTGCCTTGAAGAGTTGGACACGACTAAATGACTAAGAAGAGTTGGACACGACTAAATGACTAAGAAGAGTTGGACACGACTAAACAACAACAACAACAATAGTTAGGATCCATTGTGTGGTTCCCAGTACCACAAGTTTCCCAATTCAAGGCCCCCCTGAATCTTATAAATGTGCCACGATGCCTCGCACATTGTGTGTGCCCTCCTTGACAATGACAATGAGCACCTTGCAGAGTGAGTGCAGCTCCCAAGTGAGATTCGCCAGAATTCAGAGATGAAATCGCAAAAGCCAAACTTCCTAACGTCAGTTCTGGATGACGGCAATTGGTTTGAACTCTGGCCCCAAGCATTCTAGTGCCAATGAAGAAATTAAAAGCAGCTCGGGTTTCATTATGCAAGGAGGGATGTGGGGGACTTCCATCATAATTAAAAGTACACAATGGGTGGTTTTGTTTTGTTTTGTTTTTTAAAACAATGTTTTTAAAAAATGTTGCTGTATCATGAGATATAGGTAATAAAAAAAAAGAATATTAGTTTGCATATCCCTGGAGTCTGCAACAAGGAGTTAGTAGACACCATGGCACTCTCAAGCACACGTACTTGCCAAGGCCCTGTTTTAAACCTTTTAAAATTATTTTCTTTTTGTTTTTTCCAGCTGGTGGTGTCTGTTTTGTGGGAGGATTAGCCACTCTCTTTTTTACTGTGAAACGGGTATTTTTGTAGTGCCCATAGCAATTTATTAGATTTACAGATGGGGCCACAGGCCCAAGAAATTGAAGGACCTTTTTCTAGTCTGTGGCTTTCATAATATGATAGAAAGTGTATAAAAATTGGTATTTGGAAAACCGTTATAAGGATATGCAATGAAATTCAACTAAGGGGAAACGAGGAAGTTGCTTTACAAAGTTAATAACTGTTATTTTCAATAAGGTTATGATTTATGTTTGTTATGTTTGTTCGTTTTGTGTTTTTGTTTGTTGTTAATATTGTAAAAACCAATAAAATTTTTGGAAGGAAAAGAAACATAATATGATAGAAGGCTGTACAGAAGCAAAACAACCCATTGCAAGTAGTCTCATTTTTAAAAACTGAAAGTGTTTTCATTTAATTCACTCTGCTCCAAAACATGTTGGTGGAGGGTGGAATGGATTCATGCCAGTCTGCCCTAACTCTGGGCATTGGGCACAGCTACCAAAGACAATTGCCATTCTGCACAAGAGCTTCCTTCTCTCTCTGCAATCAGAGCTGTCACCAAAGCCTGCTCCTTTATGACTGGACAGAGAGGGATAGTTGGGATCATGTATGAATGAACTAGTAGAGGATTGTAGACATGTATGGATCACACTACATAACTTCCAGAATGTACCTTTCAGATAGCAGGTGTTGTTGGGGCTAAACAGATGTTGTTACCGGGATCTACAACGATGATGGGCTGCATAGGAATATTTTAAATATAAAATTGGTACGTCTGTTACGTAAC